GCGCAGATCGCGGCGCTCGGAGCGGACATTGAAATCCATCCAGGCGAAGATTTTTGGCGTTTGATGCGGAAGTAGGCGGAGGTGCGACTCTTTCAATTAAAAATTGAAAGTCAAGTAGGACGGGGCGGATCTGGCGCGCAGTGAAAGCCTGGAGGCGACGGATTTGGTGGGAAGTATTATCGCCAGAAATTTTGTGGCGAAGGATCGAGTCCCACGAGAGGAAGGAAGTCGACGGAACGTATTAGCAGGAGGAGGAGGAGGAGGAAGGGGAGGGCGGAAGAGGGGACGCGGTAGAAGGATTTCGAAAGGAGCGGAAGAATTGCTCGCTGCAAAAGAACGAAGACCATTTTCTCCGGTTATTTATTTCGTTTCCCCCCCCCCCCGTTCTTGTGAGGTATTCTCTGAGCAATCACTCTCCTGATTCGTGGTTAGGCCCCTCCGCTTGTATAAATCGATTGATCGATTCATCGCTTGACTAATTAGTAGATTGATTGATTGATCGATTGGTTGGTTGATTGATTGATTGATTGATTGATTGATTGATGATTGATTGGTTGATTGATTGATTGATTAATCAGCAAAGGTGGGTAGTGATAGAGGGGTTACGGGACGCCGAGAGTGTACAGCTGTGGAAATGAAGGGAGAGGGGAGGTGGGTGTAGGAGTGTGGGAGGTGAGTCAGCAGCCTGCAGCTGAGCGACAGGGTGGAGGAGGTTGGTTGTTGGGAGCCTCCTAGAGAGCGTGCGATAGGAGTTGGAAAAGGGGTGGTGGGCGGGTGGGTGGGTTTATGTGGGTTTTTGTTTGTTGAAGGGATGCAGGTCTTCTTTGTCTGCGGTGGGTGACGGGGGGAAGTGAGAAGAGGGGGGGGAGGGGGGCGGAGGGGGGGGGAGGGGAGTACATTGGAAAGGCTCCAGGAGTGCAGGTAGGGCAAGCGCAAAATGTTATGTGGTGATAATACTAGGAGCAAATGATTGATTGAGATACCGACTGGAGAGATTGAAAGAGTAATGATTGAGATACCGACTTGTAAGCGTGAGCAATAGATTTGATTCGTTAATCAGCGTTGTAATTGATTAGCCATCAGTCCCAGGTATGGTTGCGTAGTTTCTTGATTATTGCCTCTTTCTTGAAGGATTGATTACATCTGCGATTGAAAGAAAGGCGAGTGTGAGGGGGAGGTGGAAGGGGAGAGG